TGTCTGTAATCCCAGCACTTTGGGAGGTGGAGGCGGAGGTGGGAGGATTGTTTGAGCTCAGGAGTTTGAGACCAGCCTGGGCAACATAGCAAGACAAAAAATATATAAATTAGCTGGGTGTAGTGGCTCACACCTGTAGCTACTTGGGAAGCTGAGGTGGGAGGATGGCTTGAGCCTGGGACGTCACGGCTGCAGTGAGCTGTGATTGTCACTCCAGCCTGGGTGACAGAGGGAGACCCTGTCTCAAAAATACGTATAAAAAATAAAAAGAATATCGGACATCACCATCACCTCTCCTAGAAACCATGAGGCCTTCTCCTCAAATCAGATCTTCCGAGGTATTTCATGAACTTGGATCTAGTTTCTGTTCTCTCCCAAATTGCCCAGGTTGTCCTGTGAGTGAGAGCAGCTATTTCATGGGCCACCTCTGGAATCATAAGTCACCCAAACAATCTCAGTTTTCTAGCTCACTCAATCTTGACATTTCTACAATGTCATCCTTTGTTTTCTTGGAAATTAATTTGCTTTTCTTCATTGTCTTTCTTTGGAGCTTCTTTCCTCTTGTTGGTCACTATTTTATTTTTAACTTCCCACACCATACCAGCATATGTTGGTTATTCTTTTAGACATTTTTTTGTTGTTGTTGTCACTTGGAACTTTTGTATCTTGAATAAATTTGGGGATTGAATACATTTTTTCTCCACCAGTCTTATTTATACCTTTCTATATTAAGAGCTTCAAATTTGATTTGGTTTGAAATTGTTCTCCCCCAAACCTTTTTTTTGATTTGAGATGGAGTCGTGCTCTTGTCACCCAGGCTGGAGTGCACTGGCACGATGTCCGCTTGCTGCAACCTCTACCTCCCAGGTTCAAGCGATTCTCCTGCCTCAGCCTCCTGAGTAGCTGGAATTACAGGTGCGTGCTACCACATCCGACTAATACTTGTATTTTTAGTAGAGATGGTTTTTTGTTTTTTTTTTTTTTTGAGACGGAGTCTTGCTGTGTCGCCCAGGCTGGAGTGCAGTGGCGCGATCTCGGCTCACTGCAAGCTCCGCCTCCCGGGTTCACGCCATTCTCCCGCCTCAGCCTCCGAGTAGCTGGGACTACAGGTGCCCGCCACCACGCCCGGCTAGTTTTTTGTATTTTTAGTAGAGACGGGGTTTCACCATGTTAGCCAGGATGGTCTCGATCTCCTGACCTCGTGATCCACCCGCCTCGGCCTCCCAAAGTGCTGGGATTACAGGCTTGAGCCACCGCGCCCAGCGTGAGATGGGGTTTTGGCATGTTAGCCAGGCTGGTCTCGAACTCCTGACCTCAAGTGATCTACCCACCTCAGCCTCCCAAAGTATTGGGATTATAGCCGTGAGCCACCACACCTGTTGGGTTTTTTTTTTTTTTTTTTTTTAACTTTTATTTATTTATTTTTGAGAAAGAATCTCACTCTGTCACCCAGGCTGGAGTGCAGTGGTGCCATCACAGCTCATTGCAGCCTCAACCTCCCAGGCTCAAGTGATCCTCCCACCTCAGCTTCCCGAATAGGTGGGACTGCAGGCGCATGCCACCATGCCCAGCTAATTTTTTGTAATTTTCATAGAGACAGGGTTTTGTCATGTTGCCCAGGGTGATCTGGAACTTTGGAGCTCAAGCAATCCATCCATGTCTGCATCCCCAAATGCTGGGATTATAGGCGTGAGCCAGTAACCTTTTCCCTTTTATTTTATTTCATTAATTTATTTTTATTTTATTTTTGAGACAGAGCCTTGCTCTGTCGCCAGGCTGGAGTGCAGTGGCACAATCTTGGCTCACTGCAACCTCTGCCTCAGCCTCCCGAGTAGCTGGGATTACAGGCGCGCACCACCACGCCCAGCTAATTTTTGTATTTTCAGTAGAGGTGGGGTTTTACCACGTTGGCCAGGATGGTCTTGATCTCTTAACCTCGTGATCCGCCCGCCTCGGCCTCCCAAAATGCTAGGATTACAGGCATGAACCACTGCACCTGGCCCTAAAAGTAGCCTTCTTTTCCCTTTTAAAGAGTTTGTGTCCACAGCTACTGGATGCCATTTTGTTTCAGATGGACCGTGAATAGGTTTCACTCGTCACGCCCAAAGGTTGCCACTCCTGATGAGTCACAAACAACGCTTGCACCATCATCTTATTCCTTCAAACAGAGTCTATGGGCCCCTGGTTGTCACTGAGGTTCTGCTTCCTGTACCAGTACGGTTTTAAACACTACTCAAGACAGTCTGGCTTTAAATATCCTACTTAGGCCAGGTGTGGTGGCTCAAGCCTGTAATCCCAGCACTTTGGGAGGTCAAGACGGGCGGATCACAAGGTCAGGAGATCGAGACCATCCTGGCTAACATGGTGAAACCCCATCTCTACTAAAAATACAAAAAACTAGCCGGGCGTGGTGGCGGGCACCTGTAGTCCCAGCTACTCGGGAGGCTGAGGCAGGAGAATGGCATAAACCCGGGAGGTGGAGCTTGCAGTGAGCTGAGATCTGGCCACTGCACTCCAGCCTGGGCGACAGAGTGAGACTATGTCTCAAAAAAAAAAAAAAAAAAAAAAAAATCCTACTTAATCTAATCTGGCTCACAGGCTCTCCTCTGGTACTCTGCTGCCTCATAAACATCTCTGGCTACTCAGTTAAGGTTGGCTTAGTGTCCATCTCTCCAGTTCAAAGGCCAGCAGCCTCTGCCTTGTACAGGATTGTTCTCACTCCTGCTACACACTTCTGTCTCTACTGAAAGGCAGGAGGAGACTGTGCCATCATCGGGATAGTATGTTTCATCTAAAGGCCTGGTCACCAGATGTGAGTTGTAGAAACTACTTCTCTCATCCCTCAACAATTTCACAGTTGTAGGAGCTGACATTAACCTGCCATGCCCCCAACAGCCAGGCGCGGTGACTCATGCCTGTAATCCCAGAACTTTGGGAGGCTGAGGCAGGTGGATCGCCTGAGGTCAGGGGTTCGAGACCAGCCTGGCCAATATGGAGAAACCCCCATCTCTACTAAAAATACAAAAATTAGCCAGGCGTAGTGGCTCTCACCCTAATGCCAGCTACTCAGGAGGCTGAGGCAGAAGAATAGCTTGAAGCTGGGAGGCGGAGGTTGCAGTGAGCTGAGATCCCGCCACTGCACTCCAGCCTGGGCGACAGAGCGAGACTCAGACAAAAAAAAAAAAAAGCCCGGGTGCAGTGACTCATGCCTGTAATCCTAGCACTTTGGGAAGCCGAGGCAGGTGGATCACTTGAGGTCCGGAGTTCAAGACCAGCCTGGCCAACATGGTGAAACTGCGTCTCTACTAAAAATACAAAAATTAGACGGGCATGGTGGCAGGGTGCCTGTAATCCTGGCTACTTGGGAGGTTAAGGCAGGAGAATCGCTTGAACCCAGGAGGCGGAGGTTGCAGTGAGCCAAGACTGCACCATTGCACTCCAGCCTGGGCGACAGAGCGAGAGTCCGTCTCAAGCAAACAAACAAAATAAAAAACGAGGTCAAGTTTCAAAAGATGTCACCCCCAACCCGGCAAATCTTCTCCTCAAGCCCTGTTGTTCCACTCTTGTCCGCCAGGAGGAGAAAAGGTTCCCTCGAAGGACGTCTTTGCTTGCGCGTTCATGGAGCCTTGAGAACGAGTGGCCAAGCGGACCCCCGCGGCCGTGCGCGCCCGTGAGTCTCCCGGGGGCGAGGCGGGAGGGCGCACGCGCAGCAGGCTGGCTGGGCGTGAGGCGGCGCCGGGCTTGGGCTTCTGTATTCCGCGTGGCTGGAGCTGGGGCTGGAGGAAGGTCCGGAGGTGGGTGCGAACTCTGCGAGGATTTCCTCTTCCCCCAGGACTAGCTGTCATCTTCGTTTTTCAGAAGGGAGGACCTGACTGCTTTCAGAATTAGCATTTCTTCCCCTTCGTGGATGCTCTTGAGTTCCAAAGAAAAGGAAGAGAAGCCGTCATTGAGCAGCTTCTTCTGCCTTAGGGACTTTGGTAGGGGGTAGATCGACCTTAGGGGAAACGATACCCTCTTCTTAGAGGAGGTTTGGATCAGGTTTGCTTTATTTGAAATTTAACAAATACAGAAAAGCAGAAGGAAGAAAATTGAAGTAATCCGTGTTTCCACCGGGCGCTGTGGCTCACTCCTGTAATCCCAGCGCTTTGGGAGGCCCAGGCGGGCGAATCACGAGGTCAGGAGTTCGAGACCAGCCTGACCAACATGGTGAAACCCCATCTCTACTAAAATTACAAAATTAACCGGTCCTGGTGTCACTCACCTGTAATCCCAGCTACTCAGGAGGCTGAGGCAGGAGAATCACTTGAACCCGGGAGGGTAAAGGTTGCAGTGAGCTGATATCGTACCACTGCACTCCAGCCTGAGCAACAGAGCGAGACTCTATTGTCTTTAAGGGCCAATCCCATAGTATATTACAGAGACTCACCTGACTAAGAAAGGTTTTTGACAAAGAAAACCCACAGAAGAAGAGATAAGCTGTGGATATGATAAGAAAGACACTACAATCTATTTAAATCTAATTGCACATTAGATAATATATATATGAAAAATTATTTAA